GCCCTTTTCCTGGCCGCGTGTGGGGTGGTCCAGTATGTGATAACGGTGAGCAGAGTAAGAAAATCATGTGGTCAGCGTCAGTAGACGCGGGACAAGTACACAGATGTCAAACTCAAATACTGCAAAATAGGAAAAAAAAGTAATGACGAATCAGGATCGGCGTCCCCGACGTCGCGTTTCGGCAACCGCCACGTTGCCATCCTCAGGGGGCATACACCAATCTTCACCCTCAATCAGATACCACACTACCGTCACTCCCACTTCCATGCTGTCTATCACCGACACTCCGGAATGCCAGTAGCTTTCAGCTACATCAGTCCTGAAATAGGTCTACTCCTTCGTACATCCCATATTTAAACCAAGCGAGTCAAGTCAAAAACACCTGAGTCGTGTACAACAAGGATCATGACACAAAAAAAAAAAAAACAGGCATCCATCAACCCTGCGCTCAGCGGCGCCAGGGATAGGTACCTTGTAGACCCAGCCGATAACAAACTAATCTTAAACCACCAGTACTTGGCCCAGCTATCGATGCCGAGCCTGAAATGCCCCTGCGCGCCGATTTTCGCCGAAGCGCCGGGGTACCGTTTCGATATTGTTTTGGCTGGCGCTTCCAGCCATTGAGGTCCGGTACCCCGAAGCCCTAAAGGCGCGGAGCGTTAACGGGAAAGCGCCGCGGCCGATAGCTGGGCCAAGTACTGGTGGTTTAAGCTAGGTTCCTCAGCAGCAGTTCAGAGGGCTACCTAATTACATCTAACGGTACTGCCACTCGAAAAAGCACAGAGTACCGGGTCCGTGGGACCGCAACGTTCCAAAACAGACAGTACTTCAATCAGACGGCGCGCATGGTCCAACAATCAAAAAAGGTACTACAACACATATTCCAAACAAGCAAAGAAAGGAAAAGCACACCCTGTCTGATGCATATTCCAAACAAGCAAAGAAAGGAAAAGCACACCCTGTCTGATGCATCCAGACAAAATCAAGTCGAATGCCCTGCATTTACACAAACACTAATGGTACACCCTATCAAAAAGTCAAACCACATCTATTTTAATGTAAGAGACATAACCCCCCCCTCCAAAATACAGGTACAAGTATCCTACATCTGGAAAGAAAAAAACAAAAAAAAAAACAAACATCTACTGCCAGTAACGATACTCCCTGTCAGATGTTCTTTCCTTAGGCCTCCAGATAGTCAACCCAGTAGCTTGCTATTCGTTTTTCAGTTTTTTTTTTTTTTCCCCCCCCCCATCCTGCTATCGAAGAATCTGGGCTCCATCCAGCGGCCTAGCTCAATTGGTTAGGCACGCAAGTGGCATTGGGGAGGTTGTGGGTTCAATCCGCATGGCCGCCTGTGGCACTCTTGGTGCCAACCAACTGAGATATTCAGCTGGTTCCTCGCAGTCAGTATCAGTAAGGTCTTCAGCCAAACACAGGTGTGAGTGCGAGTGTGAGTGGGTTGCGTGTGGTGTGCGGGAGAGTGTTGGCTTTAGACACTACCATCCAGAAGGCTGCCCGTGTCCCACTTCATAAGACCTTTGCCAAGCTTACTGTATACAACATAAAGCATGCTGCCCGAACGTCTGCGTCCCCACGTCAAACGGGGTATAACAGTGGGACTTGGCCCCAGATCACCTGGGCATTTGTTTAGTCTGTTGTGGTGTTGTTGTTTGCTCTACGGAGTCATGAGTCAGTAGACCCCGCCCACCGACGGGGAGTTCTTTTCCTAAGAAGGGGTGGTTGCACAGCTATACCCCACCAAAATGGGGCCCACAGCGGAATAACAATAAAAGGCACAATTACCGTAAGGCTCTCTTTTTCCTTTTTTGTTTCTTTCAGTCACATGGCATGCCCATCCTATCTTACTTGGCTGAAGAACATAACGCTCTAGGGGAAAAAAAAAAGGAAAAAGAAACTCCAGATACTCATGGGCGTCAAAAGCGTCAAAAGTCATGCCACTGGTTCTACTTACATTTGTTTTGAGGGCGGCTAGCCCAAAACATTACAGCACTCGTATAACCACCCAATTGACGGTGTGAACCCATGATCTGTTTGTTAAGAAAGGCCAGATGCGGAGATGCGGTGAGTGGTGCAGGTCGGTGCAGGTTCCGCTTACAAGTTGCAGCAATTATTATTACATAATAAAAATTAGAATATAATTCTGATCTTCATACTGGGTGACCATGAATGGAAAGAAGGTTGAAGGTATAATTTTCAAAAGAAAAATTAAAAAAAAAATGGAAAGAAGGTGCGCCAAGTTCGAATCAGACAAGTTATAGTGTCCAAGTGCATCCTAAGCTGAGTTGGCGGATGATGACAGCATGCAACGCAGCAGAGAGCCACTGAGGCCTCTGCTTACATATGGGATTGGATGGTCCAGATAAACCATCTTTTTTTCTTTTTTTTTTTTCCAGGGGCAGCCAGCTCTGTAATTTTTATTTGTCTATTTACTCATTTATTTATTTATTCGGTTCCAGCTCTGTTATGGTTTTTGCCCAGTCCAGAGTTAGAACCTTGTTCGACACCACTTGAAAGTTAACCTGCAGACACTGTATCTGGTCGGACTGGTACCGAAAGGCTAAGAGGTACGGCTAAGAAAGGCACAAGGCTATTCTGGGAAACGTGGGGCAAAAACTCTTGCTTATTTAAGCCTGGTTTAAAAGGAGGCTTGACCCTTTCACCATGGCTGCTTCAGAAGCCGCTTTAGGCTGCAGTATGGAAACTGGATTCAAAACTGGGTTCGGTATGTTGGTTGCCTGCGCATCGGTTGGTATGTTGCGTCGTTTTAGACCAAAATTGTGGTTTTTGGGTAAATCTGGTAGGGCGATAGCCCAAGATTAGTGGTTAATGCAGAGTAGCTGGCTTTGCATCTTGCATCTGTCAGATCTCTTGATGTGAGAGAGATGGGCTAGGCCTTTTACTTCCCTTTTTTAGGTGCTTCAAGGTTATTTTGGAAAGTGTTTTGGAAGGGACGCTGGGCCCGATTCCCGGCAGTTGTTCGAAGGCCAGCAGTGGGCGTTTGATAGGTCAAGCAGAAATGCTATAAGCTAAACTGGCTGAGGCTGCCAGGATAACACCGGGTAGAATTGTGAGGTCCCCGGCCTCGAACTATTGTTTTGTAATAAATTTTCACTTTCCAAAAAAAAAAAAAAAAAAAAAAAAAGTTTCAAGTGCACACGAAACGAGAAATTGTGATTAATAGGGGCTTGTTAGACACTCCTCGGGGTGTCCTCGGGGCCCGAGGAGTTTTCCTTGGGGTCTTCCGAGATAAACAACCGAGACTCCGTTAGTAGTGGCGAGCGAACGCGGATTAGGCTCTAAATACCATCCAAGCAAATTAGAAAAGATTGGAAAGTCTTGCCAGAGAAGGYGATAGCCCTGTATATTTTGTCCAATGGTTTTCATTTCAAGAAGTAAGTAAAACGCGCGCCGTGTTTGAATTCTGTGGGGGACCACCCTCTAAGCCNACGCGGATTAGGCTCTAAATACCATCCAAGCAAATTAGAAAAGATTGGAAAGTCTTGCCAGAGAAGGTGATAGCCCTGTATATTTTGTCCAATGGTTTTCATGTCAAGCAGTAAGTAAAACGTGCGCCGTGTTTGAATTCTGTGGGGGACCACCCTCTAAGCCTAAGTATTTCTCAGTGACCGATATCCTCGGGACGGTCTTCCTAGGAGGATTCCTACGAGGGCCCGCGGCCAGTCGCATTATAATATTGGCGACCACGGGGTGGGGTGGGATCGGTGGTCCATGGGCGGTTGTCCGTGGGGACGGGCGTGGTCCAGCTTTGAGCGGCGGCAAAATTCGAACCTTCGCGGCGACCCATTAAAAAAAAACAAAATCCGCGCGCCGTCCCAGTTCGAAATTCAAATCTGAAATCGCGTCGCTAGGGTGCGGGTGGTTCATCGTGTGGCTGTGGCGGCTCGTGGAGGACGTCGGAAAGGAACCTCCTTCCAGTGCGCGTTGGCGGGGTCGGTGTGAGTACTGCGTGCGGCCAGGCGAGGAAGACGTCCCGGGTGAAGACGACATTGAGGCAGTCGCCATGCACGTTGTGTTGAGGACAGTGGTGAACGGCGTCATGCAGGCTGCGCCAGCGTCCTTCGTTGCGCGCTCGACATCCATATCCAGTCGTCCGGTTTGCTGGCACGGTGCAAGTTCGACAGAGTCTGTCGGCATCCTTGACGGTGATGTCTTCAGCTCTTTTGGGAGCGATGGAGGGCAGCGGCAGTGACGATGGTGGCAAGCTGATGACGGCGGAGAGGACGGCAATGGCAACAGTTGTTACCGCTGTCCTCTTCCATTGTCGGTTGGAGAGGATGCCGGGGAGAATGAAAGCGCAGATCCGCATGTGGAGGCGGAAGGTGATGCAGTGCACGATGGTGGAAGGGTTGGACACCACCGCCATCTGCGATGCCGTCGTTCATGTGTGCTGCGCCTTGGGTTGCGGAGCTCTTCCCAAAGCAACGCCCAGGTGGTGGATGAAAAGAAGGACGGGCGGGACATGGGAGGATCTGCGGCAATGCGATGACACCACGGAGGATTACTTTCCGGACAAGCTGCGCATGTCGCCACGTGTCTTCCGGGAGCTTGCGGAAGCTCTGTCGCCCTTCCTGCAGTGTCGTGTGACGTTCTATAGAGAACCGCTGCAGCCTGACCAGATCGTCGCGTACGCATTGTATCGGTGGGCGTCGGGGGAGACGTATGAGAGCAACACGTGTAACTTCGGCATCGGCACAGCATCAGGTTTGGTGGCGGTGCGGGACGTGACTGCGGCGTTGCTGACGGTGTACCGTGATAAGATATCATGGCCGACGGGGGTGCGCAAGTCGGTGGTCCTCCGTGCTTTTGCTGGCAAGGGGTTCCCCAACTGCCATGGGTGCATCGACTGCACACGTATATAGATCGACAAGCTGGCAAATGCCCCTGGCGAGGACTACTACGACCGGAAACGACGTTTTTCGATCATCGCGCTTGTTGTCGTCGATCTGAACTTGCGTGTGTTGGACGTCTTCGTCGGCTATCCTGAAAGCTGCCACCACGTGAGGATCATCCACTTGTCGACTTTATGGGCGCGTGCAGAGGCTGGGGAACTTTTCACAGGACCGCCTGTGATGCTGCCTTTCGGCGTCCAAACGAATGGGTACCTGCTGGGCGACAGTGGTTACCCAGCCTCAGAATGGATAGTTGTTCCCTATGGCTGCACTACTTGTCACGCGTCAGAGATGAGGTTCGACAACAAGCAGAACACCATGAGGGGGGCAGTTGAGAGGGCTTTCGACAGACTGAAGGGAATGTGGAGGTTGTTCCTGCGGTCGCACAAGACGAACATGGAGACAGTGCCGCAACATTTTTTCGTTGTTTGCATTTTCCAAAACTTGCTCATCGACGCCGACATCCCGTTCGATGACAATCTGTTGTGGGACGTGGATGCGCACGAAATGCACCGTTGTGCGGATCTAGGAATCTAGCGTCGGTGTGCATGGAGAGCTGGATGGGAGATGCACTAATTATGAGGGACACATTGGCCGAGAGGATGGGTGGCCCTCTGACGAAAAGAGAGAGAGAGAGAGAGAGAGAGAGAGAGAGAGAGAGAGAGAGAGAGAGAGAGAGAGA